ATATATATATATATTATATTAATCGTTTTCACAAATGTTGCCAATGACTAATATTAGTCATCATCATTTACTAATGATTACTATACTATAAATTTTCTAATAATAGTTGCATTTATAGCCATATATTTTATATATGAAATAGTTGACTATCAATATATAAATATTTTCATTTATCTTTATCTTTTTAATATAAATTTAGTATTTCATTCATATTTATATAAACCTGATTTAATTCTTATATTTTTATTATTTTTATTCTTATAATATAAACTATCTTTATTTATATTACTTACAATATCATTATTTTTATTTAAATAATCATCATTTAAATATTTTATAAATATATTAGGTATATATATTCATCCCATATTTAAAGAACGTTGTATAGTTTTATAACTACAACATAAATAATGACTAGCAGTATTTATATTTTTAAATTGACATTTATATTTATTATTATCATTATATTCATCAATAAATTGATGGCTATTATTATCTATATTATATAAATAAATAATTTTACTATTTATTTTAGATAATTTAATTTTACCTTCACTTGTTAAATAATTATCAGGTCTATTTAAAGCTATAATACTTAATTTATGTTTAGAAGTTTCTGATCATTTATTTTTACGTGAAGATTGTAATTGACTTAATAATAAACGACGTTCTTTAGTAAATGATAATTTTAATTTTTCTATAGTTTCATCAGTATGTTTATAACCTATACTAGAACCTGCTTCTGTTAATATATTATATTTAGGTGTTAATAATGAAATATACATAGTTTCTAATTCAAATAAATTATGTCTATAATCATTATATTTAATATTATTTATATTATAATTAGTTTTACTAGTACTAGTTACAGAATTATTTAATGGTAAATTAGATATTATAGGATAATATTCTAATATAGCAAATATAAAATTATTTAAACCATATTTTAATATAGATCTTTTTATTAATTTACTACCATGATAATTTAACATATGATTACTAAATCTAGTATATAATCTATTTATAGACGCTGAACCTATATAATAATTACGTGATATTTTATTTATAATAATATATATACCACCTTTATTTTTAAGATGAGATATCATTTTACTACGATTATTATGATTATCTAAATCTATTCAATAATCTTTAACATTAATACCTATATCTTTAAATATATCCTCAGGTTTAGTTATATCTTGTTTAGATTTTATATTTAAATATCTTTTATATGATTGTCTTTGTATATTAGAAGATATATATTTAAATTGATTAAAATTATATAAAGAATTAGATGTATTATTATAATGAGATTTAAAGATAAATGGGGAATATTTATATAATGATTTTGGGCTATTGTGTAGGTAACCCATGAAAGCTGTAGCCATTGTTAATATAAATATTATTACTCCTATTGTTCAAACTAATACTCTAGGTGATTTATAACTACCATAATATAAAGCTTTAGCTATATGTAAATACATACATATAAAGAAGAATGATGCACCATTAGCATGTGTATATCTTATTAATCATCCAGCATTTACATCTCTCATAATATGTTCTACTGAATCAAATGCTAATTCTATATGACTAGAATAATGCATTGCTAATAATATTCCACTTACTATTTGTATTACTAAACATAATCCTAATAATGATCCTAAATTTCATCAATAATTTATTGAACTAGGTTGTGGACTATCTATTAAATAACTATTTACTAATGCTAAATAAGGATTTGATTTTCTTAATGTCATTATTTTTTTT